TGTTGTTTGCGTCGTAATTATTTCACGTTGCGCAATGCGATCGTTTACCGCCAGCATTCGTTGTTTGGGGAATATATCGCGCGACGCGAACACGTGTACTACTTGACAGTTTGATAATACTCGATCGGAAAGACGTCTCACCAATGGCGCAACGCTCAGCGAGCGTCCTTATGTGTTGCATGTCACATTCATCCTTTATGCGATAGTTGCATAACCGCGCTGATAGCGATCGTTTTTTAAGATATTAGTCGCGTTTTTACGTTTAAATGTCTTGTTGCGGAACTTAAGATTATCAGACGTAATACGCTTGCATAAGTAATGCTAACAGACTTATAATAACGCATTATTAAAATTTTCAGATATAAATTGCTGATTACTTGCATAATTGCAACTGCATTTGTAAATTCTATGAAATGTTTTTTTTACAATACAGGTATTTCGCTGATGACATGATATCAATGAATATATTTATAACATATATATGTATACACACGAATATTTGCTATATGATTTGTCTTTGCATGAGGTGTAATTTTCTTCAACGGATTATCTCAGGCGCTAACTCATACGTGCACGTATGCAAAGTAATCTTATTAATTATGCAGGGAGATGAAACTCAACATTACGTCCATGACGAGAAATCTTAATGACAATCGGTGATTGGGCACGGTGTTCCTGCTATTTTCTGGGGCAATGAAGGGCCAGAGCTTGATTCGTCGTATGCAAATATAAAATCTTCGAATAACAATCCTACCTATGTTTATTAATAGTAACTGCTTTTTCCCATCGTGTAGACTGTTGGTAGCTCGAACCGGCTAGACGACTCTATGAACCCCTTGTGAATTATTTCAAGACAGTCCGGATCGATTTTTAACGTTGCGTCGTAATGTTTTCGAATAAATCACGAACGAATAAAATTATTCAGGGCACAAATTATTCGGAAATATCAAACAAACTAACTATTGTTTAATCATCTTGTATTAACAACTCTAAAATAATAATTATTACTTTCTTTAATTCAAATCTTTTATTATAAATCAAGTAAACAAAAATTTTGGTATAATACTACTAAAATGCATATAATGATAATATTCGATTAATTGTAAAAAGCATGTAATAGCGTGTTACATTTGCGAATATATTCAGCTAATGAATTATATTTCCGTCATACAATAATACGTATGGAAGTTAAATGCGATCTCTTAAGAAATGTCTTAATTAATCCTCAGAAGCGTTTATAGCAAATTACTTCTTGCTGCGGTAATTAGGCAAAATTACAACGTTCGTGTTGCACAATAAAGTAGAACAGGCAGCATGAGAACTACATTGCTGTAAGAACGACCGCTTTAGTTTTGTTTATCATTTACTACGTGGTAACAAAATCTTATATTGGAATCATATTGAATTGAATGGCTCGAGCCCCCCCGATTGAATATTACATTCTAACTCTAACATTTCTAACAATAATTGAAATAAGTAATTGATTTATATATAGATTAATATATCTATTTGTAATATATCTATTCCCTTATTACAATAATGAATTGTATTATAATTAGCTATTAATATAACAATATAAGTTCTATAATATAAAAATATACATTCTGAAATAAATAATCAATATTTTCAATTTATTAAAATCCAATAAACCTCGATGCAATATTGAGTACTTATTACGTTATTTAACATTCTTTTCCAATTTAACATTGATCAACATTGATATTGATCGATTATTTATAAAAGCGTATTTCGGAGAATATAAAGTAGCGCGTTGCATTTTGTATACACAGGAAATAATTTTGTACTTTTATGTCGGCAAACGATATCGTCGATGTATATTCCAAAATTTCTTGGTATTGTTGAAGGAAATTGACACGCAATTGCGTGCCTGTTGCGTGCGTTCGATTGTTTATAACGCGAATGCATACAAATACTATAAATACGCGATGTAAGCACTTTGATTTTGACGCCTTTGTAAGATTTAATTATTATATTTATAAAAGAAAAATGAGCCAAAATATTTCAGTAGAGAAATCCCCCGTCAAGAACATAAATATTTTTTAATAATTTACAATACGAAAATAAATATCGGTATATTTTGTTATTATTTATCGTAACTGTTAGTTATTAATAATTATATTATTTGCGCATGCACTACGAAAGTTTCAAAAGTCATTCGGTATTAAACATTTTTTGACTCGTCAATATATCAATTACCGCAGGTTCGATACTTTCGTTCATTATTATGTATTGTTCAATGATTACGCAAAATTCCGAGAATTATGGTGCGCTATCATACGTAATCGACTATTCCCTGTATGACTCGACCCGAGTGTTGAGTGTCGCCACGTACGGCGAAATATGATCCTCTGGACGTTCCTGGCCTACATTGCCACTCATTATGTGATCGAAAGTGAACGCTTAATCCTAGCCTCAAGAGGACAATATTGAGAACAATAGATGTAGAAGCGATGTATGTTACGTCAGATAGTGTCAGGTGTAAATCACTAATGCATATATAGCGATCTTAATTTGCGAGTCATATAAAAATCACGAATTTTCACGTCTCTGCAAAAAATTCTACTTAATATTTATCACTACTTTACAACATTATGCACAGCCGTCGCGGAGACATAATTTATTAGCATTAGGTTGTTAGAGTTATATATTGCAAGCATAATTCACCGATCAAGATGACACGTTTGATCTATTCGCTCTACGCTATAGACAGTACATTCTTCTTCATGAAATTACGACGAGTGTAAGAACTGTACGAAGAGTAATGCCGTTCCAGTCGTTTGAGAGTTTGTCTTACACGCAGCAACGTTTCTATGTGTACTTACAAAGCAAAGTAATGTACAACAGATGGTCATGGCCATCGCGAGGAACCGAGGAGATCTCGTTTCGTCTTTAGAATTATATTTGATTAGTATCAAGCACGGAAATAATTTAGAAACGGTTTTAATTCTCAGGGGAATCACATTCCCGCCTTTTTGTGATAAAATCAGAAATAACGCTAATTTTTGTGTTTAATAACAATAATTTGATTTATTAAGATTTCATATATTTTCTACAAGTATTCTTTTACGAACTCGATTTAATGTTGTAACTCGGTTTTATGTTTGTAAAGAAGATTTGTCAAAAAAAATTTATATTAAATTTATATTAAAAATTTATATTAAAAATTAACTATAAAATAAATATTTTAAAAAACTTTTATTTCAAGATTCTTTAATATCAATTCACAGTTTTAGAAAAAAAATTTATTGTTGATGTAATTTATAAAACATGAGGATATAAATGGAATTAATGAGAATAATTAATAAGAATCGATTGTTGAAACAATTCTCGAAGAAGAGAAACGACAATGCAGGCCGGAATTTTTAAAGAGTGTGCTGCACATTGTCGGCCACGACTTTTAGGATGAAAGCTCCCATTCAGTTGCTAACATTCGTTCAAGTGCACCTTTCTGAAAGCTGTTTCCAAGAGTGCGTATATTCTATACATATATATATACATGTTACGTTGTATCCTGTCTACGTAGTCCTGTCTACTGTAGACTAACGATAACTATCGTAGCAACGTCTGAACAAAATGGGTTAACAAACGGTAAAATGAAAAATTCATATATTGAAAAGAGTTAATCGATTAGTCTTAATAAATTATTTTCTTATAGATGATGACAATTATAAGTAAAATAAAATAAATAAAACTGTGTAAACGAATAATATTTAATGCAAAACTTTATATAATTATGTATATATAATTTTATATATATATATAAATAAATTCTATTTGTCAATCCGCCTTGATTCTCTGTTATTGAATTAATAAAAAATTTGTATAGAAAAATAATATATTGCTGAGATAACTTGATAAGAGAGAGAGAGAGAGAGAGAGAGAGAGAGAGAGAGAGAGAGAGAGAGAGAGAGAAAGGGGGGGAGGGAGATGCCAATCTCGAATTGACACTATCTCGAATGAATGTCACTGCAGTACGAGTTGTGAAAGTGCATATACAAGCTTTCGGGTGAGGATGAGAAGCGGAGTAAAGATAAGGGTAGAAAAACGTCGAGCTGTGTGATCGTCCAGAAGCGGCAGCAGTGGGGACAACGAGGGGGTTAGAACCTGCGCCTAAGATCACCCCTTCCGAGCGCATGCTCATGCACCTTTTCCCACTCTGTCGCCGTGCTTTGACTTCCGATACGATCGGAAAGACCAGCGAGCCAAACTATTAGTTTTTCTTATATAGACTGTTTCCCATTTGAATCAATCACTTCTAAATATGTTTTTTGATGTAAACTTGGAAATATATATATATATAATAACGCGAGGTCGTATATCGATATTTCCATTTTAAAACATATACACATATACATATACATGCATACACATACGCACACACATATAGTTGTTTTATCTTTAAATCTCCTTAAATTTGTTATCAATCTTTAATATTAGCATTTATTAAACTAAAATAGAAAATATAAAGATGAATATATACTATATTATAAATTTAGATTTTTTTTTTACAAATATTTTTCATCTAGAAATTCTCTTCATATTTATATGTAAGATAAGATACAATATATTAAAATACATAGTAAAACACAAAAAGAAATATCGAATCTAATCTAATAGAAAGAAAAAAGTCATCGATTAATTCAGATAAAAAGCGAAAATCAATTTTCAATTAGTATCTAATCTTTCTAATCACACATTCTTTCATCATTGATAATCAGAAACTTCAATTCACCTCGAATATTTTGAGCGTAGGCGCAACCCTTCTTTCCGATCAGCCCGTTGAAGTCACCGATACTTCCGATACCTGATATAGTGAACCGTCCCTCGACGTTGTGCGGTCCGTGTCCTCGTGGCTGTAGATGGAAGGGGTGCTCGGTACATAGGTGGGGGTAGCCACCCTCACGTTCCAGCAGGCTGGTTTTCATCGGTTTGCGTTACGCGGCGCCACCGTACGGCCCACACCGAAGCGGTCTCTCGCTTCCGAGTTGATTAAGTCTTGTCCGGCCTCGATGCGTCCGCACACCCCATATCGTTGACCTTGAGTTCACCTGCGGGACACGTTGATGATGGTCGTACGAGCACATCGATTGTCCACAAGATATCCGAGATGATTTGTAAGGAAAAGCTCCGGTTGACTGATGGTAGACAGCAGATGCGCTTCGAGACTGAGGCGGACAATTCTTTCGCCGGGGTGGAAAAGTGCGTGGCCGGAGGGATGACTGCGAGGGCTGCAGGCACCGAGCGCTCGAGTTAGTCTCGGCCAGAACACAGGCCCAGCAGGATCATCGTACACGCACACGAGGCGCGTGGAGTGCGTGGATCGAATAAACCGACACGACGCTTCACGCGCCGGATCATCGGGCGAGTGCAGGCAGTGGTGCTTCGGGAATAAGGTGTGCTCTCCCCGCCGCCCTCATTCCGTACATTCGAGGACACTCGCGCGAGTAAGGAGACGCTCCCCGACTCTGCTGACTTCTTATTTCATTTTCTTTCACCTGCCTCGCACGCGGATTTTTTTCTTTCTTCGCGTTTTCGATTCCGCGAATGACCGCGAAGATCTGGAAAACGTTCTTGAGGGAAGGCGACATCCGAAGAGTGACTACGGAGCACGGCAGAGACTCTGTGTTGCACCAGGTGATTGTCAACGGCAAATTTGTGATTGTGTGTACTTGTGATGATCTTCAGCTGTGATAAAGTTTTCCCTCGAGAGATTTCGTGACGACCCAAGTTGACGCGGGTGATTGGCACATAGGGGCTTATACGCGAATAATCTTGAGCAATTCTTTAGAAATAATTGTTGTATCAATGGACATGATAGGTACATTTGAAACAATTTCGATTCGCATAAAAAAATAAAATTATGTATGTAAATAAGCGTGCTTTATTTTTGAAAGTTTAATTCGAACTTACGATTTTTTTTTATAATAAATAATTTTCAAACGTAAAAAATTTTGCTTATTAGAATTCTAACGTTAAAATAATAGAATGCAGAAACACTAAAATAATAAAATGATTTAAAATAATTAAGTTGGAGTGTAGTGACATTCATTTTCGATTTTTATGATCAATGCATTTTGGTGCTGAAAAACATATTTGCCTTGGGAAAATTATAGGAAATATGTATCTATAATGTCAAGCCAAATATTTTTAAATTTAATTTCGGTTAAATATTTTTTTTGAGAGATTACATTTAATGTTGAGAAAGTATGATAACAAAACTCATAAATTATATAAACTACAATAATAATGTGTTAGAAAGACAAAATTCGTGCATAATCATCATACTTTTGTATCGATTAAAAGATGCTGCGCTAACACGATAATACGATAATACGAACGCACTCTCAATCAGCATTATTTTCGTGGGATTTTCTTTCTCGCTGGAAGTCTCGAGTCTCCGCGAATACGTCACACACGTGCAGGCATTCTTCAGGATTATCTGAAAGTCGAAACGGTACCAACGTGAACGTGACCATCAGACGGATTCCAGATCGTCTCGGGCACATTACGTACCTTTATCTCGAGCGGTCAACCAACTTGCTTCACGGCTCTGGAGGGAGAGTGAGAAACGCGATTCGAGTGGCTCTCTGTCGGAGAACTCGAGACCCGGTTGATAGCACTTAGCTGACTATTATAATTCGCGCGAGTTTCAGATCGGCAAACACGTAAACCTTAACGTCTCGAGTACGAGATCGTAAACTTCATTTGCGTTTCAACGCGCGGAACTGGCGTCAAGTGTGTTCACGAAACTCGTGATCGTTGACGCGAGATCATCATTAGTGAAAGAGACAGAGAGAGAGAAAGAGAGAGAGAGAGAGAGAGAGAGAGAGAGAGAGAGAGAGAGAG